TGAAGCTTTCGCGAAAAAATGATGAAAATGTAGCTGCGGCCTAGGCGCGGCGCAGAGGTCGCGCACCAGGGGTCCCAACAATAATAATTCTTTAGAAGGAATAATGTTCAACAACAACAACAACAACAACAACAACAACAACAACAACAACAACAACAATTACTAGCACGTGGGGACACTCCGTTCTCACCAGTGCCAGGGTTTTCATAGGAGGCGGGCAATACCCCCACTTTGTGGGGGGGCCGGTTCAAGCTCTACCAAATTTCCAAACGACTCTTCGCCACCACCCACACCCAGCTTCCCGCCCTATGACGTTCGGACACTTCACTTCGTGGCATGCGGACGACCGTGGCTACTATTCAGGGCCCCGCGGCCGACGACGACGGCGTGCGCGCGCGAAGAAAAAACGAATGTGTCCCGCATGGTATTATTTGACAGGGATGATGGCCCTGGCAGGTGCGCAACCGTTGTCGCAGAAGTTCGAAAAAGTTGCTCGCAAAAGCCCGTTTGACAGAAATGTTTAAAAAGTGTTGGGTTTCCTACGAATCCGCAAGAGCGCGCGGGATGAGATTTTGACAATTTTTTGTTGAAAAACCATTGGTTTTTTGATGTTTTTATGTTAAAATCGCTGCGAACACTAAGGTTTTGGAAGGATTTCGTCTTGCGCGCGCGAATGTCCACTTTACCTTATTTTTTGCAAGGGATTCTTGAAATTTGATTATATTAGAACAAGAAATGTCATTTTCTATTGTTTTTTGCAAGGGAAAGCGGATTACAACAAAACAACCGGATCCTGTACACACCCTCTTTTCTGAGGCTTCCTCACGAAAATGATGAAAATGTAGCTGCGGCCTAGGCGGCGCAGGGGGGGCGCGCACCAGGGGGCCCAACAATAATTATTCTTTAGAATAAATAATGTTCAACAACAACAACAACAACAACAACAACAACAACAACAACAACAACAACAACAACAACAACAACAATCATTTTACCCGAACGCGTGGTGTTCTCCCCAGTGCCAGGGTTTTCATACGACACCAGGCAATACCCCCACTTCGTGGGGGGGCATTACAAGCTCTACCAAATATCCAAACGACTCTTCGCGACCACCCAAACCCAGCTTCCCGCCCTATGACGTTGGGACACTTCACTTCGTGGCGTGCGGACGACCGTGGCTACTACACTGGCGTGGGGTACACACCCACAGAACTTGGTCACTTATTCGGGGCGCGCGTGTGCCCAGCATCCTGCAATTGTGACATACAATACATGACACAGACAGACAGAGAGAGAGACAGAGAGCAGACAGAGAGAGAGACAGAGAGAGCGGAGTTGGTCACATTTTTGGGGCAAGTTCCTGAGATCGTCGTGTTTTTTGTTGGTCTTGCGCGCGCGAATGTCCACTTTACTTTTTTTTGCAAGGGAGTATTGAAATTTGATTATGTTAGAACAAGAAAAAGTAGCTCGCGCGAGCTCATGTAACATAAATGTTGAAAAACCATTGGTTTTGTGGGAGTCGGACAGCGCGCGCGGGATGAAATTTGGACATTTTTTTTTGAAAAACCATTGGGTTTTTGATGTTTTTATGTTGAAATCGTTACGAAACCTAAGGTTCTGGAAGGATTTCGTCTTGCGCGCGCGAATGTCCACTTTACCTTATTTTTTGCAAGGGATTATTGAAATTTGATTATGTTAGAACAAGAAAAAGTAGCTCGCGCGAGCTCATGTAACATAAATGTTGAAAAACCATTGGTTTTTTTAGGATTCGGACAGCGCGCGCGGGTGGAAATTTTGAAAAGTCGTGCAGGTGTTTTTCGAGGACCTACGGTGCGATTCGTGTGATTTTATGATGCGCGGTGCTAAAATTCTTAAAAACCCAATGGTTTTTGGAGATTTCGGCGTGCGCGCGCGAAGAAAAAACGAATGTGTCCCGCATGGTATTATTTGACAGGGATGATGGCCCTGGCAGGTGCGCAACCGTTGTCGCAGAAGTTCGAAAAAGTTGCTCGCAAAAGCCCGTTTGACAGAATTGTTTAAAAAGTGTTGGTTTTCCTACGAATCCGCAAGAGCGCGCGGAAGACATTTTGACAATTTTTTCTTAAAAAACCATTGGGTTTTTGATGTTTTTATGTTAAAATCGCTACGAAACCTAAGGTTTTGGAAGGATTTCGTCTTGCGCGCACGAATGTCCACTTTACCTTATTTTTTGCAAGGGATTCTTGCAATTTGATCAAGTAAGAACAAGAATTTTCATTTTATAGTGTTTTTTGCAAGGGAAAACGGATTACAACAAAACAACCGGATCCGGACACAATCCACTTTTCTGAAGCTTTCGCTAGAAAATGAAGGAAATGAGGCTGCGGCCTAGGTTTTGGAGGGGGGTCGCGCACCAGGGGTCTCAACAATAATATTTCTTTAGAAGTAATAATGTTCAACAGCAGCAGCAGCAACAACAACAACAAAAACAAAAACAAAAACAAAAACAAAAACAAAAACAACAACACCAACCACCACCACCACAACAACAACGACAACGACAACGACAACGACAACAACAACAACAACAACAACAACAACAATAACAACAACAACAACAACAACAACAACAACAACAACAACAACAACAACAACAACAACAGCAGCAGCAACAACAACAACAACAACAACAGCAGCAGCAGCAGAAGCAGCAGCAACCACAACAACCACAAAAACAACAACAGCACCACCACCACCACCACCAACAACAACAACAACAGCACCACCACCAAGAACAACAACAACCACAACCACAACCACAACCACAATCACAACACCAACAAGAATCCACATCGCGGAATCCCACTACAGCCACGCACCCAGGAACAGCGAATGACCGTTCGCCCCCCTTCACCCTGAGATATAGATATACGCATATATAACCAACATACATGCATATGGATGCATACATATACACACCAACTTTTACCTAAAACTGTCGGCATGGCATGGCCCGAATTTGTTCCCGAGTTGGCATGGCACCTCATACCCAACATTCAACCTCCCAGCCCGCCAACCCACCTCACCCCAACGCCCACCTCAATACACCAACCCACCACCCACCATCCACCCACCCACAACGCCAACCACCCAGCCGACCGCCCTCCAACCACCCCCATCACTCACCCACCAGAACCCACACCCCCTCTGGAGGCCTCCCAAATGGGCCAGAGTAGGTGTGTCCGAGAATCGCACCGCATCGGCGATACATTGGCGACGTATCGGCGACGGCGGGATGGAGAAGAACGGGATCCTGATCCAGAGTGCGCCGCATCGTCGATGCATCGGCGCGGCGAGATACTGCGACCCCATCTACTCTGGCAGAATTTGTTCGGACGCTCCTGGGTACGGAAAAACACAAGATACGATGTCCAGCAGCCAATGCTGTCCAAAACCGACAGCGGCCGCTGTTCGGAAGCATACTTCTCGTCCCGAATAGACTGCGTCCGCGGCGACAGTGACAGCGAGTCCTGCTCAGAACGGGCAGGAGCTGATCCCGAATTTCATCCCCACTCTTGCCAAAGCCGCTTCGATCGCACCGGATTTGGCAGGCCTGCTCCATCGAAGCTCACACCCCACCCAAATCCACTGGCTCACCGCTTGTGAAGGGCTTAGAAAACGTCTGCTGTCCTTCGGCTCTCGCCCGAGCGTCCACGATCTGCTCCAGCTTTTCCCCCAGCATCTCTGGATCTACCTCCACATATCTGGATGTGCTACGATGTACCTGCATTTCCCTCGGGAATTCTGGCCTGGCTCCCACAAGTCGACTCGAGAAAGGCTGTCAAGCCCTTGGCACCGCGCCATCGGAACCCACTGGAGCAGCAACGACGGGATGGACCAGCTCAGGGGGGGAAACATCGAGCTTGAATCGGCGATGCATCGCGGAGGCATCGGCGGAAGGCCCCCCAAAGCGAATCCGCACGTTCCTGGGCGGGGTGTTTTCAAGGGAGCGAAAAATGAAAAAAAAAAAAAAAAAAAAAAAAAAAAACAAAAAAAAAAAAAAAAAAAAAAAAAACGTAAAAACTCTGAGGTCCGCGCGGATTTCTGGGGATCGGCGCTGGGGCCCCTCGGCGGCGCCTCCGGCGCCGACCCTGGCGCGCTCCGCGCGCCAGGGAGGGGGGTCCAGCGCCAATCCGAGATGTTTCGCTCCCCCAGTTCTATCGGGCCACTATCGGCGATGAATGGGCGATTGGGGGTCGATGATTTCCCCCCTGAGCTTAGGTCGGGCGTGTCCCCCCCCACAGGCGGATTTTGGACGGAAAACAAAAATACCAAAAAAAAATTCAACAAGTTGTTCTACTATTTTTGAATACTCCTCCTGCAGAGGGACACGCCCGACTCAACCCTGAGCCTATCCCCCCTAGCGTTGCCCCTCGCCTCTCCCACGCCGGGTGGCTCCCGGCTCACTGCGCGGGCCTCTGGCGGCCGCTCGGGACGATCTGGGCGCGCCTGGATAACGCTGCCGGCGAGGCGCAGCCGCTGGAAGGCACTCCGAGGCCGGGAAGCCGCCGGGAACCGAGGAAAACGCAGAACAGACCTCGAACCTCGAAACTGCGCCGACTGAGCCTCTCTCTCTCCCCACATAGAAGCCTCCTGGATGGGGCCCGAGCAGATGGGGTCGGAGGATCGCGCCGCATCGCCCATGCATCGGCGACGTCGGCGTGGGGAAACACGGGCTTCACATCGAGCCGCATCGGCGATGCATCGGCGACGTGGCGCGATCCTGCGACCCCATCTCCTCAGGCCCCATCCAAGCGGCCTAAGTAGACCATAGCGCTGCCCCTGAGCAACCAACCCCCACTGGCCCACCGCCAAATCCAGGCGCGCTAGCCGCTGCTACCGCTTCGCGTTCAGCCATCTGGGGGCCCATCTGTGCGCGGACCAAAGGTCACTTCGGCGAAAGGTCACTCTTACGTCTGGTCGAACCGCAGGCCCCGCACTGCGCCGCCGGCCGCGCGCTC